CAGACACCATGATGATAGATACTGTTCTGGACACTCTGTCTGGCACGCTTGTATATTCTGGAGGGAAATCAGCAACAAGGGAAGACGATGAGCCTTTCCGCAGAACTGCTTGGGCCCACATGCAGCCCCATCTCTAGAGTCTCCTCCCACAAGCAGGTCAAGTCCCTGCTAATCTCAATTTGACTATATTAACAGGTTACTTTCCCACAGGGGCTGAGACAGTCAAGCTCCCACCAGCTTGTAGGATAAGCTGCTATCTCTTCTTATCTGTGCCAGTACTGGATACTGCCCAGTAGGGCATAAGAAGAAATATATTTGGTTTTTGTTCAGGCTCCAAGCATAGAGCTCTTAAAACCCTTGGGATTTCCTGATAGGCTAGTCCTCTGTTATTCGTAAGATACTCCTTTCAATCAATTCAAAATTTATGCTAAGGAGATGATAGCCTGAGCCCCACCCACCCAATCCACCCTTCCAGAAAAGGTGGGGGGAGGGCCCAGAGATGAAGCTCTGTGAAGACTCTGGAACAAGAGATGGGATGAACACAATGAGGTGCAAGGGGACGGCACCCTTAGAGGGCACGGAAGGCCACATCAGCCCCTCAATACCTTGCCCTGTCTTCCCTCTTACATTTGGCTGTTTCTGATAAATGGAGAAATCTAAGCAAACCTGACTCCTGGCAAATCATGGATGCTGAAAGGGGTTCATGGGACCTTTCTGTTGATCAGAAGGTGGCCCACAACTGATTTTTCCCACTATAAGAAAATAAATCTATAATATGAAATAGTGAGTTATGGGTTACCGTGATAACAAAAATATCTGAAGAACTATCCATACCCAAAAATCATGACAATAGTTCCTGCTGCTAAACACAGTGTGCATGGCCCTCCTTGTAGCCTCCTAACACCCCAGCTGTCCTGGCATTTCTTCAGGGATGCTCTCGATACCATCTCCCAGTATGAGGAAAAGGGCCTGTGAGGAAAAGAAACACACGACGCACCAGACAGGAACAACCCAAAGCTTGGCCCTGAGCGCAGGCCTGAGCCAGCCTCCCTAGGTAAGAGGGTGCAGAAGCTACGCTTCCTGTTCTGACACGGACGCCCTGCACATGCAGCCCCCACGCTGACTGTGGCTGACCCTGCGCAGAACAGACAAGGCGGCAGACGTGGTGCAGCGTGACATCCTGGGCCAAGGCATAAGAAGGCTGACAACTTTCACCGGGATTTCTTAAGACACTGGTTCTGAGGGAAGCGAGTCGCCATGTCACACATCCACGCCCCGGGTACCAGTGCGCCGTGGAGAAGCCCACTGGGAAAAGGTAACGGGAAGGAGACCGTGGCGGCGGCCCCATGGCGGAGAGGACACCAGCGACCCCGCAGACAGCTGCAGGGGAAGAACTGGGGATAGAGGCGAGCTCTGCCAACATCTCCACCAGCTGTCCCAGCTGAAGCTCCCCCCTGTCGGACAGAGATGAAGGGCGTCCTGGCTGAGCAAGGGCGTGGTTGCTCTTTGATGCCATCAGGTCTGGGGTGGTTTGTTAGCAAGAGATAACAGAAAAATGCCAGTGTTATCCGTGGCATTAATTAAAAAGACGAGTCCACCTTTGACCACAGTTCTGAAGTGGACAGGATAAATCAGAGAACCTTTCAGTGAGAAAGAAACTGAATATTGTACCAGTTCACGTTGCCTTGGAAAACTTTCAAAATACAGCTGACCAATCTAATTCCAGAAAGCTCCTGAACATACAGAGCGACCAACAGATTACTATGAATCACACACGACTAGTTTGAAATATTGGTCTCCCTGATTCAGCCTGCAGGTCACAGCACAAATGTCACTTGTTCCAGAAGTCCATCCAGCCCCAGGTCTTCTCAACCCCCTCCGTGGCACCCCAGGAACCTCACCTCACTACCCTCCATGCCAGCTCTACCACGTAAGGCTGCACGGCCCACTTCCTGGCATGCTCTCTACTGGGGAGAGGGTAGGTTCATCCTTCACCTAAATCCACCTGCCATGGGGTCACTCAATTGTGATTCAATGGCAAGAAGCAGGGAGAAGGGAGGGAGGAGAGAAGGGAGGGAGGCGACAGAGAAGTGAAGGGGAAAAGGCTGGATGGTGGGACGGGAAGAATAAATGACAAGGGGTAATGACCTACACAGGGAGAGGAGGGAGGAAGAAATGCAGGACACACAGGCGGGAGTGCCAACCCCACAGCTCGGCAGCTATGTGACCTCAGACTCGTGAGCTGAAAATGGGGCCACCAATGAATAAACACATGTCCGACAGCAGAATCCTTCATTCTGCTTTCAAAGTTAAATTGGGAAAAAAAAAAATAAACGAGACTAAGCTTATCCCCCGGACAGTAATCCTCTCTGCACGTGGAAGGCTCCCTCTGCCAGGCAGGCTACTGTAAAGAGCAAGGGCGTGTCGTTTTCTCCAAAACGACACCCAGGGGCACGTACACAGAAGGCGGTGGCCAGTCAGAATCCAGGCCCGGAGAGGCCACGAGTGCCACGCGGTCCACGGTACCCAGGCACAGGTCAGAGGCAGCAGATCCCCCCCGCGCCTAACACCCCGTCATCGAGACAGTGAAAGGGCCCACTAGCCCGACACGGTGCTCCCGTCCATCCTGTTCAAGAGCAAGGACACCAGCAAGCAGCAACTCGGCAGGCGGCAGACATTCCAAGTCTCTTTCTAGCAGATACGTGACCAGGCTGTTCAAAACGACAAGCCTGACTCTGCGCCAGCAACTCAGCAGTTAAGTGAGCATCCCCAGGGCCTGCACCTCCCCAGGCTGCCATGAGATTTCAAAGCAACTCCTGGGCCTTCTAGAACAAAATGGACAGACCGCAAGGTGATGGTGCTGAGTGAAGCAAGTCAGAAAGTGAGAGCTCTTGCATGGTTCTGCTTCTCTGTGGAATATAAATAACCAAGAAACATGGATTGGCAAAAATATAGCAAAAACAAATGAAAAATGTTGACTCTGACTTACTGAAAACTGCACTAATTACCAGAGGCACAGGGGGAGGGAGAAGGGTATAGGGGAAGGAAGGGGCGGGGCGCGGGCCCGGAGGAGGTTGGAGGATGAGTCGGGCACGTGCACACGGCAGCGATGGAACCCCCAGTTCTACATTCGTGCAGATGACGGGCAGAGGCAATAAAGAAAAACAGCTCTGGAGAAGCTGAGCCGCGCTCGGCGCCGGCCAACGCTCAGTGCTGTTGTGACAGCTGGACAGAGCTGCTACCAAGGACAGAGCTGTCATCGCAGTCAACAACACAGGTCACTCTGTGACAGAAAAGGCTCATAAAACATGAGACGAAGAAAGAAGGCGGCCATGAAATAACAAACACCGTCTAACACCACGAGCATACGCAAACAAAGATGGCAAAAACTGCGATCTCTGTGACGGGCGGACGGGTATGTTTATTTCATTTTGCCTTTATTTTCCAAATTTCCTACAACGAACAGTCTTTTGCAATAAGGAAAAGAGTAAGTTATTAAGGACGTTGGTGTCCTGGCAGCTACGAGTCTGAAGGCCTCTCAGCACACACTTTACCTAAGACAACGGCAGAAACCAGCGTCAGTGTCCCTGAGACCCCTTCCAGATGTAAACCTCTATCCTTTCATGAACAAGCAATGGAAAGAAACTGAGAACAAAAGCGACCCTCCCGCCGCCTCCTATCTCCCACACAGCCCGGGTCGGCGGCGCTTACCCGGGGCCGGGTTTCTGATTGAGTCGCTAGAGGCAGCACTGTCAACTGAGCCAAAAGAAGCCCGAGCTGACTAGCAGGAGAGTGCGATCCAGAGACAGACCTGCCACCATCACAAGCTTTCTGGCCGTAAGGAAGCTAATTTGAAACCCATCTCCATTTCTTGGGGCCACCTATCCCACACAGCAGTGCCCAGAGCGAGCACTCGGATCCGCCCACACCTGGCGTGTTCCACATTCTAACAGGAATACAAGTGTCTCACAGCTCTAACTTTAACAATTATTCAGTACAAACCTGGAGAGTTTGGATAATCCTTTCTCTTTTACTAACAATACTTCTAAAAGGTTATGACCCAAAAATTTAAAAGCAACATTAAATTCAAATTTAAAATTAAATAATATTATTCAAAAATTTCCATCAATAATTACATGCACCAAAAGTGCTATGTCCTCTCAGCATATCTTTTTTTTTAAGATTATTTATTTATTTATGCATAGAAGAACTGGGGTGTAGACCAGAGATGCGGGGGCTGAGAGGATTCACCAGAGACAGAGGGGGCAGCAGAACAGGCAGACTGACTGAAATCCACTGCTGAGGGAAGCAGCAGGGAGACAGGAGAGGTCTGCTGCGCCATGTGAGTAGCTTCCTGGCTGGGGATCAAACTCAGGCCGTAGAGGTGATAGCGCTGAGACTCACCCCTACCTACACCACCAGGGAGGAAGGTCGCTCAGCATATTTTTTTTTTTTGAAGATTTATTTATTTATACAAGAGCTGGGGTGCAGGCCAGATGCGCAGGAGGGCAAGAGGATTCACCAGAGACAGAGCGGGGAACAGAACAGGCAGACTGACTGAAATACACTGCTGAGGGGAGCAGCGGGCGAGACAAGAGAGGTCTGCCACGACATGTGGGTATCTCCCTGGCCATCAGGGATCGACCCCGTGCTGCAAAGGCTGCGGACAGCTTCACAGCGCTGTGCTCAATCGCCTGCGCCACCAGGGAGGCCCTCAGCGTATCTTTTTTTTTTTCCCAAATTTTTTTTTTATCTAAGAGCTGGGGTACAGGCCAGAGGCGGGAGGGTGAGAGGATTCACCAGAGACAGATCGGGGAGCAGAACAGACAGACTGAATGAAGTACTCTGCTGAGGGGAGCAGCAGGTGAGACAGCAGAGGTCTGCCATGCCATGTGGGACTCTCCCTGGCCGGTCGGGAATCGAACCCGCGCTGCAAAGGCTGCGGACATCTTCACAGCGCTGCGCTCAACCCACTGCGTCTTTTTAAGCACCAGACTCACCTTTCAAATTGGACCGACTGGCAGGCCTCCCTAAGCTGTTCCTTTGGTGCTTGGTTGACATGCGCTTTATCTGTCGGGGTGTGCTGGGAGGAGAGCTGCTATAAAGGTTCTCCGTGTTGGTTTCATCTGAAAAGTCCTCAGGGTCAGATTCAGAATTCTTGCAAGCTGAATCTCCCGGAGTGCAATCGTGCCTACGGAAGACAACAAGCAGAGAGAACAGTCAAGGACGTGCGACGCAGGTTCACATTCGAGCTACGACATTTCTCTGAAGAACGCCCCTTAAGCCTGTGTCCCGGGCTGTCTCCCTTGCAGTGTCCTCCTCCTCTGTCCGCACGCACGGAAACTCACAGGAGCGCTTGCTTCCACCGGGAGGCCATGAAGGTAGACATGGGACAAAGTGAAGTGCATGGGCACAACTGGCTCAGTGTCTGGGGTCAGAGAGTTCTTTGCAACATAAATAAAGTTCAAAATGAAAACCTTATGGGGCGATAGGGCAGAGGACTAGGAGATACAAATTGGACAGAATTAAGCACAACTTGTGTGCCAACAACTGGCAAGCGTAGTTGACACAAGGGCACACAGCGCCCTGCCCTGGAGCTCAGCGCCCTCCAGACTCTGAGGATGCACAGACACAACTCAAAGCACAGGACCCGGCGGAGTACGCTGGTGACACACGGCAGGTCCACCGGCCGTCACCCCCATGGACACACTGCCTTGCAGAACCGGGGGTGGGGCATGCCCTGCAAGAAGAAAAAGGAATTAGTTCCCCTTGACTTCAAAACACAATTCCTCATTGACCTGGAAACACATCCCACCAATTCTCTCTCCCCAGCCAATTTCACAAATAATGTCACCATTCTGATTAGAGTTCTGATTTTGCAAAGCACCCAAATAAAATGTAATGATGCAAACTGAGAATGAATGCAATTCAGAAGGAGCAAACCAGAAGGAATCCATCCTGAAGTTTCTTTCAATCCTTATCACCACAGTCTACCTCATTCTGAATATTCTCTATAGGTTTACTTCCTATTTTCTAATCATAATCCCAAACTATATCCAAGATACAGTCAGTTTTCTTCCTAGGAATTTATATTCTGATATAAAATCAAAGTTAGGTCACCCCACATACGTGCACATGCAGGAAGACCACCAGTGCCTCAAAGCCAACAAAATCAAATCAACCCATGAGCAAAGGCAGTTTCAAATGCACACATTCCCTTTGACTACATTTATTAAGTCTCGAGTCATACAAAAATAACATCAGATTAACTTGAAATCCTCTACATCCATTTCTTCTACACTCAGTGCAAAGTAGCTTGATTCAGTTGATGACAGAACAAGGCTCTATATGCCAGGGTCACTAATTTCATCTCCTGATGGCGGACGGTCATGGGCCTAAAATGACGAAAGCTTCGTGGTGCGAGGAACTCGGGTTCCAATCCCAGCGGTGCTGGTTACTAGCTGTTTGGGGGCCCTGGCCAAATTCTTTTACACCACCATACTGTACATTTTCAGAATAAGGATAATAAATACTTAGACTCCAGACCTACAAGAATTAAGTCCAATAACATGCTTATTAACAAGAGTAACAGAGTGGGGGTCACTGAGTCACTGCTGCCTCCCACCGGGCTCGCTGCGCACAGGCGGCACCCACCGAGAGTCCGGGTTCCTCACTCACCCTTGAACTCAATGCAGAAGTCGGCCTCTGAGTACGGCTGTAGGACCAGAAACCACGTTAACTTTCTCAACATCTTCTAAGTATTTTCATATTCAACATTAAAACTTTTTTCTTAATTTCCCACTAAGATACAGTCAGCAATAAGGAAGGACTCTGTATGTTATTATTTTTGTACCACTAGTAGTTTCTAGAATAATGCTCAAAACCATTCAGTGTTTTTCGACAATGACATATCTCACTGCTAAAATGGTAATCACGAGAAAACCACAGCATGGACAGAGGGCAGTTAAATGCATGGGGTCAGGTATCAGGGACTACCAGGTCAAATAGAAAAGCGGAGTGTGACACGCGAGAACAAACAAGGCCTCTGAGAACACAGGCTGTGAGTGAGGAGGCAAGGACCCAAGGCTCAGCTCCAGTCCTGCTGCACGGAACTGCACACACTCGCGTGCTCTAAGACTAAGAATTTTGAATTTGTAACGTGAACACACTAAAATATTTTAGAAAATTTTAAAAAATCAAAACAAATAATGGTAAAAAGTATTACATGGAAAATGCTAAAATATGCCACCGGAACATGATATGCATGTAGTACCAGTATCCAGCATGATTGTGTGAATAAATGAATCAGTGAAATACAAAGAGGGTTTTTTTAAAGAGAACTGAACATGACCAACACTCTGGTGACCCACGTTTCCAAATGGCAAACCCTCTGCCCAAGGTCAGACATGACCTCAAACCAAGAAGAATTATTGTTTTAAAAAAGTACCCCCGTCGCTCTACATTTCATGAAATATGTCCTGTGCTTAGCAGATAGAGTCAAGGAATGCATATGTAACAATTAGGTTGACATCTATGAAGAACTGGAGGACAGAAAAAGGTATTTGTGTTGGCTGTACTAGTTTTCAAATAAAAATGGAAGAATAAATCTGTGCAAAATTTCCGCAATAGCTGAAGATCCCATTTTCAAATTCATATTACAAAATAAGTCATACATTTTAGTCTTTATACCTTCCCATGGACACAATAAACAGTGACTCACTTCAAAGTACTTCTAAATTATTTAATTATTCTAACAAAAAATAAAGAATTAAAATAAGATAAAACATAGAGCATTTCATTCCTCCTTATTCATTTTCTTCATAGAAAATAAGGCAGAAACAATTCCTTGTGGTGCCACTAGTGCCATAGTATGGTGGCATACTTATAATTTGACATTAAAATGAGTTTTAGGACAGGTATTAAACGAAGGTGAGGCTCTGCATTTAAAACTTTCTTAGGATTTACTTAACTCAGTCAAGATGGTTGTCATACTTTTTTGGAAATACTGGTTTACCTTCAATCAAGTAACTTAATAACCTAGTTACATCTTAGAACAAAATCCACGTTATCTACAGGACTTGTTTTCCAAAAGGTCTAGCACCCAATACATAAAACTCATGGTGTCTGCCAGCCCATCAAAATTCAGCTAAGAAACGGGAAAATATGACCCAAACCAGGAGAAAAATCAATAGAAACATTACTTTCTTTGTGCATACCTGAGACGAAAAATACTCTGAATGGAATTCCAAGCAGATTAGACATAACAGAAGAAAAGATCACTGAAACCGAGACTCAGCAACAGAAACTGAAACTACCCAAAATGAATCAGAAAGAGCGCAGGGAAAGAACAGAAAAGGAAGAGAGCACTGGGCATCTGTGGGGCAGATTATTATGTCAAGCAATGTAACTCGAGCGTTGCTAGTTCGAAATGAGAAAAGGACGGGGAAGAAAAGGCTTTGAAAAAATCTCCCAAATTTGAAGGGTGGGGGGGACCTCAGAAGCTCACATATCCAAAAAGTTCCATAAATTTCAAACCGAAGAGCTATAAGAAAATGACCAGTTTTTGATGATGCAATCATAATCATAACCAAATTGCTGAACAGCCAGTGTTGAAGAGGAATAAGCTTAAAAGCAGCCAGAGTAAAACAACTGTGTGTAGGAACCTTAGAAGATTCCTTAGAATCTTAGAAATATATAATGGAAGGGGGGAAAGGAGATCAAGCAAAAATTTATTCTCTTTTTATGCTAAAAAACCATTTATACACAAAATCTAAGAAAATAAATACCAGTGGTAAGTTCAAAAGAAGTTGCTTCATTTCAATTAACTAACCAAAAGCATCCAAAACCTCATTTTGTATTAGCTCATGTGAGATGAGCTAATGCAGTCAGCTGACTGATTCAGAATGTTTCCATGGATACCAATTATTTTGGATGAGGAAAGTAGTACAAGGTCAACACCAGCTGCCCTGAAACATTTGCCTTACTTGTGTTCAAAAACATGCAAGTGTAAACTGTCTTTCTGGTATTAAACTCCTGACAGTCATATAAAACAATGTTTTACTCTTTTAACATAAAACTTTGCTAATGTACCGTTCACTTGACACAAGAATCTGGCCTGAAAGAAAGTATGTCTTCAACTTAACTAAGGGGGTTTGATATAGTTTTTAAATTAAAAAAAAAAAAAAGTGCAGAAGACAAGAGAAAAATCCAAGTATCTTGGGGTTAAATAGTTCTGCTGTGACATAGTAGGTAGCCCACATGGTGCCTGAAATTGTCCTGGATAAGATGGGTTCAGAAATATCTTGTGGTTTCACAAAGTCCTAACGAAATTTTAATTTCATTTAAAAATTCTTAAGAAAACCCCCTAGAAAGAAAAGGTTTTACTCATCTAATAAGGAGAGAGCTCACCTGTGAGACTCTCCCCGAGACCCCATTAATCTGTTCTGGTAATAGTTAAAGGCAGATTCTGCTGCCGGGGGAGATGGAGCGGGGGAGAGAGAGATGGCAGGGGTGGATCGTTTTGGTTTCTTTTTTGCGAACTTGTGCGGTTTGCCTGGTCTGCAGCATAAATCAAAGACAACTAAGCACCACTGAGGGTGCCTGGCCAGTTCCCACTGTAAGAGCCCATTACTAAGTGAGCTGATCTTTATTCAGCCTAGAGGAGAACATTTATTAGCTAACCTCCAGGTGAACTGTTGTCAAACCTCAAGTGTATCCAACTTTCACCAGCTAACTTAGACTGATTCAGTGTGAAATGTCTTCACAAACCAATGGAAGGTAGCAAAAGCGACAACGGTGTCCATTTCAGGCCAGGGCCTTAAGAAAGTCCCCTCCGTCCACCGTGTGAGACGTGCAGCCACCCTGAGACAGCCCTGGTCTTCAAAGCCCAGCTCAGCCAGGTGGAGAGGCTGCCTGACAGAAAACCTGGCAAGCTCAGAGTCGCCCTGAGCTCCCAGCTGGCAGCTAGTACCAACTTGCCAGTGGTGAGTAAGGCTATTCTGGACCTTCCAGCTGCCCTTGAGGCCAAGTCAGCACCTTAAGCAGAAGCAGCACTCAACACTGTAACAGGTAATAAATGGTTTTTATTCTAAGCCATTAGGCTTTCAGATGGCTTGCTAAGTTGTAATGCGTTACAATGCATACATCATAATGCACACAACGGTGTGCATAACGCACAGCAAAAAACTTAAA